AGTCCATGCATAGTAGAAGAAAACAAGACCCAATCTAAATGCTTAAATAGGCAAATATGGGTCCACCATTCTATGGACAACTATGCAGCCACTTAAAATGCCAATATACTCATGTTATAAAGAGTGAATTTCCTTAATATACACGGTGTTTTTACAACTAAATAGGAGAAAGACTAACAACCCAACAGAAAAGTAGGAAAAGAATATGAATAGACAGTCTATGGAAAATGAACTACAAATGACCCTTAAATATTTGAAAAGATAAGAGAAATGGGGGGGTAGATATCATCGTTCGTCTCCCAGATCTGCAAATAGGGAAAAGTCTAATAACACACATGCTGGGACGAGTGTGGGAAGCAGGCCCCCTCACAGGTAGCTGCTGGGAGTGCGATTTAGTCCAACACATAAGGACGGTAATTTGCCATATTTATCAAAGTTCAAACTGCGTATTTCTTTTTGACCTTGCAAATCCACTCCTGGATCTGTTCGTTTGTTCGTTCTTTCTTTCTAGCTTTTATTTATTTATGAGAGAGAGTGAGAGAGCGTGAGAGAGCATGAGAGAGCACGCGTACAGGTGTGCAAGGCGTGGGGAGGGGCAGAGGGAGAAGCAGACTCCCCGTCAAGCAGGAAGCCCTATGAGGGGCTCGATCCCAGCACCCTGAGATCAGGACCTGAGCCGAAGGCAGGTGCTTAACTGAATGTTTTTCTCCAGTTTTTCTCTGTCCTCCTGAATGTTTTTCTTAAAGACTTACTCTCACATATGCAAACATGATACTTAAACAAAGATATTCATTACAACACTGTTTGGGATAGCAAGAGAAACATTCAGGGAACAACCTAAATGCCCAATTTAACAGTAGTTAAATTAATGATGACACAACCATATAATGAAATACTCTGTAGCTGTTAAAAAGGAAAAAGCAGGGGCGCCTGGGTGGCTCACTGGGTTAAAGCATCTGCCTTCGGCTCAGGTCATGATCTCAGGGTCCTGGGATCTAGCCCCGCATCAGGCTCCCTGCTTGGTGGGAAGTCTGCTTCTCCCTCTCCCACTCCCCCTGCTTGTGTTCCCTCTCTCCTGTGTCTCTCTCTGTCAAATAGATAAAATCTTTAAAAAGAGAGAAAAAAAAAAAAAGGCAGATTTTTTTTGGTTTTGATGTGGAAAGATTTCCAAATTGTATTACATTTTGAAAAAAGATAAAAAAAACTATAGAGTATATCACCATTTGTAAGAAGGGGGATATCTATACCCATATTTATATCTGTATCTATCTATCCATCTATCCATATCCATGTTTGTAAAGGCCCACCTGAATGATCTTTGTAAGGACACATGAGAACCTGGTAACACTGGTGCCTTCAGGGAGGGTAATCAGGTGGCTGGGAGACAGGGGAAGGCGGACACTTACTCTGCATCATAACCTCTTTGTATATTTTATATCATTTTACTATATGAATATATTAGCTATTAAAAATGAAATAATTTAAAAAATGATATAGGATGTACTTTCCCTCTAATATGTAATTCCATTTTATTCAGTTTAAAAAGCATAATTCCATTTTGGTTTTTATGTATGAGTCCACAGAAAAATATGAATATACACACATAGAAAAAAGACTGGAAATAAACCAAAGTAGAAGCAGAGGTCATCCAAGGTCAAGTCAGTGTTCCCGCAGGCTCTCTGAAGTTCTCCTTTGCTATATGTTCTCAGAGTTCTCAGAGGCATCTCAGGTAGAAGGTCTGCTAAAAACCTTTCTGGGGAAGACTCCTGTGTCTAGAGAATTTATCGGAAGACTTTGGAGTGACACACAGGTTGGAGCAGGAGTCCCATCACAGAGAGTCAGGCTTAAAACAAGCAAGATAAATGAGTGAACTCACGTTTCCCCATGACTCTCATTTCTCCATCCCAGGAAAATGACTAGTTTCATGCCCTGCTCAATCAGGGAGAAAGGATGACCACAGAACAGAAGAAGAGTCTGGGATCAGAGATGGCCAGAGGAACCAAGCTCACCTCCACCTCTACCCTCCAGATTCACAGAGGGCTGAAGGACACGTGGGGCTTCCCAAAGGAACAGAATAGGGGTTCATGCCAACTTTACTCAGTCCTCAAGGACCCAAGAGCCTTCAGATAGCATATGGGTAATATAATCATGCCCAGTTTACAGGCAACAAGTCCCACATACGACCAAGTGCTTGCCTGCCCCATCCCTTCTGGTTTTAAGTACAGTGTGTGGGAGACACATGTTCTCCTGGGTGGCCAGAGGGATCAAAAACCTTCCCTTCTCCGCACAGCCTACAGCAACAGGCAGACTGATCATTTTTCTTTTTTTTTTTCTTTGCAAATCCTCTAGGTGTTTTCCTTGCAGAATGGGTTTCAGCCAAGGTAGACTTGGGGCTACTAGCCAACGCTCAAAAAATAGATTTGGCAAAGGACCCCAGTAGTTTATGTCCTCAGAATACCGACAAAAAGTTTTTACAAAGTATTGGCACTTGTGTTAATTTGCTTGAGCCTTAGTGCTGCTCTGGAAAGCAGAAACTAGGTTCTGGGCTGGTGAATTAGCTTCCTAGCTTGGTTACAGTTGTAACAAAGCACCCTCAGGGGGAGGAGCCTTCCTTGGCTTTTCTGGTTTCTGCTGGTTGCTGGTAATTCTTGGGGTGTCCAGCCTTATAGACGCATCAGTTCTGGTCTCTGTCTCTGTTGTCACCTGGATGTCATTTCACGGCGTGTGTGCATCTTCATAAGCTGACTTCCTCTCTTATAAGGACACCAGTCACACTGAATTAAGGACCCAGTTAACTCTGGTATGACTTCAGCTTAACTAATGGCATCCGCTACTACCCTATTTCCAAATAAAGTCACAACTCAGAGATACGGAGGGTAAGGACTTCATATCTTTCTCCAGGACACAACTCAATTCATCACAGCTGGGAAAAGACACCCCAAGAAGTTTTGCGGAATTTTCCTCCTGCCCTGCAAAAGTCCAGTCGGAGGCGCAAAGCTAGGCAACCTGCGAAAACTCTTCCAGAGCACTTTCCCTTCTGCTGGTCTGCCCTCACGGAGGACCCACTGCTCTCCATGCACTGAGGTGGACCAGGCACTGGGGCGTATCTCATCCAACCCTGAGGCACGCTCTGAAGGACGTATTATCACCCCCAGCTCACAGATGAGAAATTGACCTTCTGAGGAAATTGACATGGTCACCCAGCAAACACCAGGTGCTGAGGGCCATGGTCCCTCTGCTTCCCACAGCAGGCACGCACCAGGCAAGCCATGTGCCGGGCTTTGGGGACAAGGCAGGTGGGCACGATCAGCACCTTGGCAGCGGGAGACCAAGCCGAATGCTTTTCTGGACTTACTGCTTCTTAGAAGGAAAAGCAATTTGGAGGGAGGAGGCTCTAGGCACTGGCCTGTGAGTACAGCCCACCTCCGGACACTCCCAGGTTTGGGAGGCTAGGAAGTTCTGGTTTTCCAACTGTTTTTAAAGTCTGCAAACCCCCAACCTTTTAAAAAGGAAATGGAAGAACCCCCAACTTATAAAAAGGATGCAAACCAGGCTGAAGGCAAAGGACCTTGCTCAGACATCCCTAAATGGCTGGTTCAGCAAACCCCAGGTCCTGACCCCCCAAGTGAGAAAAATGGCTGAAAACCACATAAAATGCCAAAAGCGGGCGCCTGGGTGGCTCAGGATAAAATGGATAAAATGCCAAAAGCAAGTAACAAAATGACGCCCATGTTTTCACCCGATTATGAGGTTAAAACATTCATCGGATATAGTCTGGGGGGACTTGACATGAAGAAATTACTGTTCAAATGCTTCCAGTCTTCAGATGGTGCCGTGTTTTTGTTGTTGTTGTTGTTTTTGTTTTGTTTTTTTAAAGATTCCTTATTTTTTAGTACATTCGGAGATATTTCAGTTAAATGCTATGACGTCTGTTTGCCATTTGTTTCAAAATGAGGTGTGGCAGAGATGAAAGTGGGCTGAGGAACGCAGGGGTTGAGTGATGGTTACATGGCGCTTCCTTACATCCAAACCAGCAAGCTGGCAGGCTCAACCTCACTAACTCCGTTCCTTTTATCCTCATTGTCAATAATAATAATAATAATAGTAATAATAATAGTAATAATAATAAAGCATGTTTACGCTTAAAAGCGTGAATTGTGCAGAATGAGTCGCGAGACTTTCAAAATGCCTTTTTTTTTTTTTTTTAATTATTATCGAGGTAGAGTTGCCTACAATGTTATATTAGTTTCAGGTGTAAAACAGCAAGGCCACAACTCCACACACATGCAGCTATCCTCTACTATAATACCCTTGCCATCTTAGATTCCTTCTACTGTACATTCATCTCTCTGACTTACTTATTTCGTAACTGAAAGTCTGCACCTCTTTTCTGTAAAGCACTTTACTGAGCTACGATGGACATGCAAAAAGCCGTGTTTAGTATACCTTTTGAGATTAGCGGTGAGCATGCACCTGTGAAATCAGCTCCACGATCTATGCCATAAGCCCGTCCATCACCTCCAAAAGTTTCTCCTGCCCTCTATTATTTGTGCATGTTAACTCTAGGCTCGATGCTGTACAGATCTCTAGGAATGACCTATGTAGCCAACAAAGTTTGTACCTCTTGATCCCTTTTACCTATCTCGCCCCTACCCCCCGCCTCCCGCTGCTATAAGTCTTTAAAAAACAATTAAAAGTTAAAGTTCCAGGAGCTTTGGGAGGCTGGGGAGAAAGGGGAGCGCAGCCGGGTACCCCGCCCCTCAGCTCGGGTAACCCCTACTTGCCTCCCTCTGCGGCTCGCACCTCCACCCCCAAACTCCGCCGGGCAGCGGGCGCCCCATCTGTCCACCGGTCGGTCAGTCCCTGCACCCTGCCACCGGGTCAGCCAGCCGGCAGCCGGCGGAGCCCCCCGGCCTAGCGCCCTCGGGCACCCCCGGCCCGGTGCTCCCCACGCCGCTAGCCCGCCGAGCCCGCAGTTCCGGGGCTCGCTCTGCACTCACCCCGCGCGCTCCGGCTCCGCCACGCTTCAGCCCCGCCGCGCACGAAACTGAAAGCGGGCGGAGAGCACCCGGGCTGGTGCTGGGAGCCGGCGGCCGCTGCCGAGAAGTCACGTGGATTCCAAGTGCCGCCGCCGGCGGGGGCGCGGGCCGGGCGGTGGCGCACCGCGGCTCCCGCGCTCTGCGCGCGGTTCGCCCCAACCCAGGCACGGCCCACGGAGGCGACACGGAGGCAGGAGAGCGCGCGTGGAGGAGATCAGGGTGCCCCAGGAGGACCCCGGGCTGAGCTCCCCTCTCCCGGGCTGAGCTCCCCTCTCCCGGCCCGTGGGGACACTAAGGAGGCGGGGACAGGGTGGGAAAGAAGAGATGGTCGCTGTGCAGAAGGAGACAGAACCCAGGGGCCCGGCTCCTGTCCCGCGGTGCTCTCCAGACTGAAAGGAGGGGTGAAGGGGGTAACAGCAATAATTGGTCTTACTAACTGAGCCTTCGGTTCTCCGACCCGGTGCTGGACACTATCTCGGAAAGTATCTAATCCTCAGAATAACCCTAAAATGCAGACGCAAGCATGACTCCATTTTACAGATGAGCAAACTGAGGCTTAGCCAGGCGAACGAATTTGCCCCAGTCGCACAGGCAGAGATGAGGAAGAGAGGAACCAAGAGCGCTGGTGGGTCAGAAGGAAGATGAGGCTCCCCGGGGAGGGGCTCTGCAGCCCTCCTGAGCAAGGACTGGTCCAACTACCCTCCCAAAGTTCCACTATAAGCTTCTGGCTTTTCTGCACCCCTCCTGGGACAGGGAGCTCCCCTCCTTCTGCCGGGGACACATCCGTCCTGGGGACAAGTCAGCCTGCTAGGAAGGTCCTCCACTCACCTCCCTGGGCTGGTTTGCACTCTCCGCTCACTTCCATCCCATGTGAGTATGAAGGTACTGCAGGATAGCGGTCACATCAGTGTCAGACAGCCCTGGACTGAAGTCCTGCTCTCCAGCTACTGGCCAACTGCCTTTACTCGGGCCACCTTGACCCTGCTAGAGGCCCTGCCTGCCAGTCCCCAGAGGAGGTCCTGGTCAGCTTAGTGAGTGTCCCACCCTTGCTTTGGGTCCCAAGAGATAAAGAGAAACAAGCCCAAGAGAGGGGCACCTGGGTGGCTCAGTCAGTTAAGCATCCACCTTTGGCTCAGGTCATGAACCCAGGATCGGGGGATTGAAGCCCCCCCAATCCCCGCCGACGGGCTCCCTGCTCAGAGGGGTTCTGCTTCTCCTTCTGCCGCACTTTTCCATCAAAATAAATAAACAAAATCTTTTAAAAAACAAAAAACAAGCCCAAGAGAGCACTTGGAGGGGCTAGAGCAGGGCTCAAGTTGGTGGTTTCCCATGAAATGGTCCCAAAGGTGAAGGGGCAGCTCTCTTGCCTCCGAACCAGCAAAATCCAGGCTAGGCCCTTTGGGCACATTCCTGATATGGGCCCTGATCTCTTCTCTCTCCCCCTCCTCTTTGTTCTCGTTGCTACAGCAGCCTCCATTCAGTTCCTTTTTCTTCTTTTCTTTTTTGGGAGGGGAAGGGCAGAGAGAGAGAGAGGAGGGAGAAAGAAAACAAGCAGGCCTCACCCACAGTGTGGAGTGCAACACAGGGCTCGATCCCATGACCCAAGCCGAAATAGAGTCAGATGCTCCACTGACTGAGCCACCCACGTGTCTCCCTCCATTGTTTCTTGAATCTGTCATGATTGTGTCCTTCTGCCCCAGGGACTTTGCACATGTTCGGGTCTTCCTCTTTCCCCATCCCATTCGGTCAGTGTGGTAATAGGGGTTTTCTCCACATATCCTTTGTGGAGCCTGGTGTCTCCCAAGGCTGGGATGATAGAAATCTTTTGTATTATGGCCTGAGGGTAGAAAGAAGACCTGCTCTGAGCAGGCGGTTTGGCCAAAAATCTGCCTATGAGAAATGTCTCTTCCATGTTAAAGCCCGATTGGCCTTTTAGGGGCTCCCTCCTCCTCTTCTACCAGAAAGCAGACCTCTGTGAGGGCCCCTTGCTATCCCCACTATCCTCGGGATCTGAAGCTCCCTGGTGCCCCCATATTTCCTGTCCTACACTGGAAGCACATGTAACAGAGGATAAGTGACAACTCATGCAGGAAGCTGGTCAGAAGAGGAGATGGCCCCTATGATGCCCAGGTTTGGGTGGGCAAAGGGGCTGAAAGGAGCCAATGCTGTGGGGGAAGGGAGAGAGGGTCTGAGAGACACTCTCTGTTGACCAAGGGGAAAACAAGGAAACCCAACCAGGCCATTTCTGCTTCTACCATTTCCTTTCCCAAAGCCACACAGGCAAGCAGATATGCAAAAGAAAGGCAAGGCCAACTTGTATCCTGTGAGGAAGGAAGCAGAAAGCTCTGGACAGGTCCTTCCAAAGTACCCCCTGCACATGCCAGTAAGACTGTCTAAGATTCCCCCATTAGTTTCACCGCATATAGATGAAAATCCTACAGTGCCGGGGTCAACAGGGAATTCGGAGATCATCCAATCCAACACTCTCATTTTATAGGAAGGGGAACTGAGGCTCAGGGCTGGGCTTACACCGGGTCCCAGGCTTCCAGCCCTTGGCCCTTTCTGCCACATCAGGTTGCCAGCAGGGGACCTGTGCCCTTAAAGTGGGTTGAGCCATCCTGTGTGGTGGCAGACATGGTATTCTCTGGGTCAACCTGGAAACAGGGATCCACGCGCTGACCGTGGTACCGGCGTGCAATGCCACTAGTAGGGACAGCGGCCTCGAAGGAAGGGGACCCAGGATTCTCCATGGCTGGAGGGTCAGAGGCCTTTGCAGCTCTGCCTGAGGAGAGCTAAAAGCTGAATGAGTGCCTCCCCTGCAGCCTCATGTCCCCCAACACTCCTCCGGCCCACACCTGACTTCAGGGATGACCCCTGTGGTGATCACTGGCCACAGGAAGCTCTGGATGGACTCGGAGCTGCTGTGCCCAGCAGAGTGCTCCCTGGGCACACAAGTGACCCACGGGGTAGAGGGCCCTACAGTCCGGCCGGCACTCATCTCTATGCCCATGATAAAGTACATCCCATCCTGCACCTCTTGTCCTGCTCCCCACATCAGGGGGAACCTCTCCCGAGTGGTCCCTCCTAGGCCCTGGAGTGGGCTCCGACTCTCATCCCATTCCACAGAGGGGAAATCAAGGCCTGGGGAGCGGCCAGTCATCCCCTGCTTTCTTGCATCTCTCAACCCCCTTCATCCATACCACCTGCAACCTAAGGGCCTCCCGGCAGACACACAGGGAGAGGGATGGGTCACAGGAAGAAATGAGGGAAGGGTTTTTCAGTCTTACTGCCTTCTGTCCTGTTGCCTGATTTCCTGGAGGGCCTCCTGTCTGCTCTGTAAGGCAGAAGGAACTAGAGAGCTTGTCTCTCCCCATCCACCCAAGACCATTTCCTACCTCAGGTTAGAAATAGGGTGCCTGGGTGACTCAGTGGGTTAAGCCTCTGTCTTCAGCCCAGGTCATGATCTCAGGGTCCTGAGATCGAGCCCCGCATCGGGCTCTCTGCTCAGCAGGGAGCCTGCTTCCCCTCTCTCTGCCTACCTCTCTGCTTACTTGTGATCTCTCTGTCAAATAAATAAAATCCTAAAAAAAAAAAAAGTTAGAAATAGTCTTCAGTTTAATTGTGAAATCAAAAAGAAAGGAGAATGTGGCCCTCTGTTGCCCTTCTCCCCGAGAAAATAAACTCTAGGCATAATTCTAAGTGCCTCTGTCTAACATTTATGACCCTTCAAAAGAGCCCTCTTGACCCCTCTCTGGACATCTACCATCCCAGCTGCCCTTACTCAGACAGTCCCTTCCTCCTGCCACGCCCCCCCAGTGCCCTTCATGCTGATTCTTCCTCCTATTTAGAAGTGTCTCCATAGGACGGGTTGCCTGGCTGGCTTAGTCCGTAGAGCATGTGACTCAGGGCCCTGAGTGCAAGTCCCACGTTGGCTGTAGAGCTTACTTAAAAGAGAAAAAAAAAAGTCTAGGTAAGGGTCTTGTCTCCCCAGCAATCAGGCCATAAGTCCTGGAAGGAAGGAACACTATTTCCCCACCAATGTCGGTGTCTGACACCAGAGGGACCAGGGAGAGATCTGAGGGGTCCACCACCCCCTCCTCTCTCAGCAGCACATACTGGGAATCCCAGAGGCTTAGAAAGAGCTTCCTTTTGGAATAGAGGGCCTGGCTGGTAGTGATGGCATCCTGGGGGGAAGTGAGCCAATTCACGGGGGTCCTCTCGGGACCCTGGACTCTCTGTACTGAGTGGCTGGAGAGTGTGGGCAACAGCGGACCCCGGGAATCGTGGGGTCAGGCCTCACTCTGCTGAACGATCAAGTCAGTGGTTTCCCAGCTTCTGTGCTTTTGGGGTCACATGGGCCCTTCCCGTCCCAGATTCTCACTTTTCCTCCCTCCTAACAACTTCTTCCTGGTGGTCAGAAAACAATGTGCCCCAGGACCTTGCCCCATGACAATGGGCTCATGCCTCCCAGATGAAACCAGCATCAAAGCAAGGTGAGACTTCATCTGCTGGTGGGGAGATTTACCTGCATTTTTACTCTCTGGAGACCACTAGCTGGGCGCTACTCCAAGTGTAGACCCTTAGCCGGCAGCATCAGAGCAGAGAGGGAACATGTTAGAAATGCAGATTCCCAGGCCCCTCCCCACTGAATCTGAAGTTTGGGGGTAGGGGAAGAACCAAGAATCTGTTTTGGCCACCCCTGCACGTGATTTTGATATATAACCATGTGTGACCCACAGATAACTTTCAAATAACCTCCTGAGTGGGAGTCATGAGTTCTGTTAGCACCTTCCCCAACTACCCGTTTATTTCCTTCATAACTTGGGGGCATAGTTGGTGGTTAGACAGTCTTTTGTTTGGCTGGTTAGTTATTGGCATCTCTACCTATTAGACTGTAAGTTTCATAAAGTCAGGAACTTACTATGGGCCTGGCCCAGAGTAAGAATTCAATAGATATTGTTGAAAATACATACAGGGTTCCCCTCGCTGGCTCAGTCAT